TTCATACCTAAACGACTCAACGCCAGATTCCCACCATGACCTAATCCCGGCCGTCTATTTTGAAAGTACCCGTCAATATCAAGAAACACTAGGTCCCATCACCCAGCAATCTTAACATCATAACCGTCCATTTGATTCAACAGAAAATTGCAGGGCCCACTCCATAAAACATTCAACAATCTTTCCTTCCACGTCCGCCAAACTTTGGTAAGAAACTTTTAGTTACATATCCTAAAAGAACCTTAGAATCAAATTTAGATTTGTTTCCCAAATTGATATTCGGTTCCTACCCATAAATACCTTCTCCTTCCTCTGTATTTCTCATCTCAATTTCCATGGAGTCGTCCTCCACAAAGTCTCATGTAATCTTAAATCTTAATTTACTCCCCTTTTGCAAAATGTTACCGATTCTTGTTCGTGTTGTTTATCATCTTTTCGATTTTGTTGTAGGCGATCGCGGCGGTGGCTGTATTGTTGGGATTATTGTGTTTGACCGTGGCGGATTGCCGGTCAGGTCATCAGCTTCAGGATGCCCTCGATTTTCCGGCGTTGAATTGCCGGAAGCACAGTGCGGTTTTGACGGATTTTGGAGGGGTTGGAGACGGGAAGACGTCGAACACGAAGGCGTTTAACAACGCGATTGCTAAGCTGAGCGAGAAGGCGACGGATGGCGGAGCGCAACTGATTGTTCCGCCGGGGAAGTGGTTGACGGGAAGCTTTAATCTCACCAGTTATTTCACTCTTTTCATCCACAAGGACGCCGTTATTCTCGCGTCTCAGGTAGTATAATTTTTCAACGTTTTTTAGCTCCGACCACAAAAATAATACTTAACTGTATATTTTTAATTTAATTGACGCGTCTTTATCTTACCTTATTTTATTTGAAATAGTGAGACTATTTGGGCAATTATTTAAATATTTTTAATAAATTAATATATTAAAAAATTTATTTAAAATATTTATAACTTTTTTTTGGTCATTTTTGACATTTCACTTTTTATATATATTAATTAAATATTTTCTTACCTGTTAGATTAATTACTATTAATATACGACTAAATCTTTTTATACATTATTTAAGTCTTTTCATTTAAATTCTTCAAATCCTCCTGATTTTTGCAATACCCATATTAAATTTATTCATGCATGTAACGGTAATTTGATTTATTAAAGTAAGTTATTAATTAGGTTATCACTGGCTTCTGATTTTTTTTTTTTCTCATAACCATTTTGTATAAAAGATTTTTTGTATTTTACAAAAGTATATCCTACGGGTATAACTTTAATGGGTGTCATCGCCTTGATTGATTAGAACGCATACTAAGATCTCGAGAAATCTTGAATTAAATTCTTTAAAAATGTCTAAAAACATATCGGTTTACTAAATTTGCATTTTTTTTTATGCAAGGCCAAAATTTCAAAGTTTCCATTCCATATAATATGGTCAGTAGTCAAACAAATTAATCTCTTATTTATGAATTATTGGTCAAATGGCACTTTTTTGGATGAATTATAGGTAATGTGGTACTATTTTGACAGTCTAATTACATCATAGTACTACCTAACGAACTTTAGGACCAATAATGGTCTCAAAGCACAGATCAGTTATCATCATGTTTTATTTGACTTCTCCTTTTCCGAGATTTTTAGCACAAATTAATTTAGAACCCATAAATAGTAGTATCTCTTTTTTCATTCTATCATTGATTTTTTTTTTTTTTTTGAACATAATTGGAAGGGGCGGGTTTCGAACCCAACCCGGGGAAGGGAGAATGTACCGAGGTGGCTATTGCCATTAGGCCGCAAGGGCCGGGTGCCATTCTATCATTGATTAATTTTTATTTTCTCTCTAAAAAAAACATATGTTTTTCAACGCTGCACAGGATGAATCAGAATGGTCTGTATTTCCTCCTTTGCCTTCTTATGGAAAAGGAAGAGATGCCGGTGCTGGAAGGTACAGCAGTCTCATTTTCGGAACAAACCTCATCGATGTGGTGATAACAGGTAATTAAGAATCTTAAATTTGAATTTTTTTTATTGTTTTCCTAAAACTTTATGTTTGTTTGAGATTATTGTGTAGTGGTGTACTATATATAGACAAGGTACTCTTAAAGCATTCCAAATGGTATTGGTATGTTAACCAATTTGACTCAATTGTGTGATTTGCAGTTTGCACATTTAATAGAACTTCCTTTAATTTGTATTAAGGTAACAATGGCACGCTTGATGGGCAAGGTGAGTCTTGGTGGAAGAAGTTTAAAGCTGGTGAATTGCAGTACACTAGACCCTACCTGATCGAGCTCATGTACTCCAATCATATCCAGATATCAAATCTCACATTGCTCAACTCTCCATCATGGAACGTCCATCCCACATACAGCAGGTTTTGATCCCTGTGAATACTGATTGAAATCATGCATGCTAATGCACTTGATCAGTACTCTCAATTCCTCACCTTTGTTTAACTCTCAAATTTTGTAGCAACATAGTTATTCAAGACCTCACGATACTTGCACCAATTGATTCTCCCAATACAGATGGAATAAACCCAGGTTTGTTTGTTATTTAAATTTTTTTGACTTACACTTACAATCTGTTTGTTTTGAGAGGACGGTAGAAGGGGAGGAGATTGAAGCGGAGGTCTCTTCTTCCCCTTGTTAGTTGTATTGTTAGATGCATAAAAAATACTACTTCAGGCAGGGTCCAATTATTAGTTAGGGATTCAATTGCTTGGTTTTAAAAATAGAGGATGATTTTGCGAGTTCACTAAAGATTATGTACTAAAAACAATATTTACTTCAAGAAATATGTTCATTTGGATTAATATGATTTTTTTCCTCTGGCAGATTCCTGCTCAAACACTATAATCCAAGACTCTTTTGTTGTCTCCGGCGACGACTGCATCGCCGTGAAAAGTGGTTGGGACCAATACGGAATCAAATTCAACATGCCAACTGAGCAACTTGTCATTCGTAGATTCACCTGCATTTCACCAGACAGTGCTGGAATCGCCCTTGGAAGTGAGATGTCAGGCGGAATCAAGAACGTCAGAGCGGAAGACATCAACCTCATCAACACCCAATCTGGTGTCAGGATCAAGACCGG